CAAGTTCACTGGCGTATTCACTGTTACACCATCTTTTCTTTCAAATTCTTTCAGCACTATAAGAAAGACTTAAAATATCCTGTACTGCGTGGGCAGGACCATATTCAGAAACGTGAGACAGGTTTTCATGTGATATAAGGCTATTATTTACTTAAAAGCCAACAACAAACACAAATAAAAGTTGTACCTCAGAAGCATGGAAAGTTACTCTCTTTTACTCTATTTTCAGAAAAGCATGCTCATTTTATGTATGGAGAGTAAATTGGTTGATTGTAAAGACACTAAAAATAGTATAATATGTAATATGGTTTAATTACAGGAAGTACTAATACTATTTAAGAATATTTGCAAGTGTTAGAGCTGAGACAAAAAAGATAGCAAATAATTTAAAACTTCCCATTTTGTAATACTCATCTATGTTTAAACATTTCTTATAACTATTCATTTAAAACTTTTCTTAGTAAATTCAATAAATATTTAATAGTTGGTCATTATCATGAGTTTGTCCCTTTCCTCCCCTTCCTGTTGGGGTAGAGGATTCAGCGAGATGACCAGGGCCTAGGATTCAAATGGCATCGTCAGGGTTGATATCACTGGGGTCAAGGAATCAACTGGCTTGGTCCTCACTGGTCGGGTTTCGACTTCCATGTTAGGGATCGGTAGGGTCAGGGCCAGTGCAGCAATGGCTGAGGAATTCTTTGGCATATTTGGGACTAGGTGGGCCAAGGCAAGCAGCTGGTATTGTCAGGAGGTTGGAACATAAAGGAAGAGTAAGCAAATACATATTTAGGGTCATGGGAGCCAGTCTTCTCATTATGAGAGGAAGGAGTTACAAGTATGTAAAGACGAGATTAAACCTTGAAGTACGAAACTAGAATTGAAGGTGTCAATGTGAACTCAAGGTTTTCAAGATATACGAGATGTGACAATTAAGTTCATGAACTTGTTTTCAACAATGTTGCAAAGCTCTTTTGATATCAGAGGGATTATTCATTATGAATTTGTAACAACTGGACAAACAGTTAACCAAGTTTACTATTTGGAAGTGCTGAAAACGCTGCGTGAAAAAGTTAGACGACCTCAATTTTTCCCCAATTCATGGCTCTTGCATCACAACAATGCACCAGCTCAAACGCACTGTCAGTGAGGGAGTTTTTTTTTTTTTTTTTTT